TTCTTAAAATAGCATGAATTGTAATGCTTATGTCACTAGAAGCAATGTTGGTTTTAATTTTTACCCCTAGTTTCGAATAAGGGAACTTGAAGTATGGAGAAGCCTGGTGATGGTGTGACGTGGTACTCATTTTATCAGGCAAATTCTTCTGCATCAGTTTTGAAAAGCTTTAATAGAAATTGTAAATCGCAGCCTCTTAAAGAATAGAGTTCCTCTTCAGTTCTGTTTTGCTGTGTTTTTCGCTGAGGTTCAGTGAGCACGTTGCCACCATTAGCCTGGGGTGGCTGTTTAATGGAACCTGCTTAATTAAACCTTGGTGAATGCCACTTGCTCCCTGCCCTCAGACAAGCCCCCACACAGTAGGACCCTCCAGTTAGTTGGCCTGCTCCCAAGCCAGTACTTCTATGAACCAGATGAAAATGATTATGGACAAAAACCTTGTTTCTGCTTGGCCATCCCTAGCGTAGGTGCATTTTGCCTCATACCAGAGCTGTGTAGTTTGTTGTTCGGGCTTGATTTTTAAACTTAATCAGTCTCGCTCCACTCTCTAGTGAAAGATGTACTGATACAGGATCTGTCAGAAAAGAATTTATGAAAACTTTCCTGTTGTATAATTCTGTACAAGTTCTTGAGATGTGTTCAAAGTAGAAATACTTCCCCCAGCCTCAAGTGTTTCGTAAAAGAATAGGTCTTTAGGTAAGTATACTGTTCAACTCCCTATCACACACACTATTTGACATTATTTATTGAATTCTCACAAGTGGGAAAATAGCTAATAAATTACCTATTTTTTTTTCCTTTGGCCATTTAATACCATTTTATTGAGTAACCAGAATTGTGTATTTCATCGGATTGCATTGGGTGACTCAGTATTGAAGTTTTAAATATATTTCTTTCTTTCTCATATTATCTTGAGGTTACTATTAAATGGAAAATATTATTAGTTAAAATACTGCTTGGTGGAGATCTTTTGGAAAGTGCTTTAAACAGCTATTATGTTTGCATAATAAGAACAGTGAACTTTGGAAAAGTATTCATACAGACTTTCATTTCTGCCAAAGCAAGCAAATGGTATTTATGTAGTTAAAGGAGTCTATGTTTATGATTCCAAAGCTGTTGATAAAAAACATTTTGTAGGATCTAGGATGTGGTATCTTTGGAGTTCTTCGTCCCTGATAGCCATTTGTTTTAGGTATTTCATTATCCCAGTTTTTGCTCCATGTTCACCAAAACCAGTGTCCTAGAAGTATCTTGTTCGCAGCTCAGTAAGATTGTCTTCTTTTCTCACATGCTATAATACCTTAAGTTATTGGGTTGTTGATTTTTTTAAAACATCTTTCATAATTTCTTGTTTGTATCTTACAATCCTGTGTTGAGTGAAGGACTGTTAAGTGATGATGGACTGGCAGAGGTGTTAAGCAGCAGTGTGTGACAAAGGCATACCTGGTCTCTGCAATGACCTTCAGTCTGTGAAGGTCTGAGTAACTGAATGCACTGCTTGCATCTGTAGAAGTAGTTCAAGGGTAGCTGTATCAGTGGGATGGTGTGCCTGGTTAAGCAGATGTGCCAAAAGAAGGGTACACTGCAGTGCTGTAGTGCCTACGTTGTTCTGGGATTCAACCTGATATGTCTGCGCGGGATTGTTCTGTACTGCATAGTTTAAGCATGACCATAGTTTAAAAGCTGTGGTGAATTTTAAATGTCTAGGATTGGTTTTGGTTCTGCAGACAACATAATTTTGTTATCGCTGTCTCAGTAAGTGATCTGAGTTATGGAGTTAATACTTTGCAGTTGATGTGTATCTTCTGCGTAGATAGCAGAACCGTATATTAGAGGGGATGGGCATTTATTATTTACTCTTTTAAAATCTGGACTAGTCAATGAAATCAAAAGCAATTTCTGTGAGATAAAGTATCAGCTTATTACCTGTAAAGTTACACATTTCTTGGTTCTGCATCCATGTCTTGAGCCAAGTTCTTGTAAATGACTAATTCATGAAAATAACAAGGCTGTATGTCCAATTCTGAAGTTACTCCAGAAAGTGTACTTTGTGAGCAGCTCTTATGAGCTATTAATGCAGTATTTGGCCTAATTTTAGTAATTGTAACTTCTTAGGCTTTCTTTTGTCCTTAAAAAGTTTGGGCATTCCCCTGCCCCTACGTACAGATTCAGAAGTTATATGTTTAAAATACTGTGATAGGAGGCTATTTTATTTTAGTTAGCATTGAAGAATAAAAGTTTGTTTTAGAAGAGGAGAGTCCAGTCTTGTTATGTTTGTTTGTAATAGAATAATGGAATTGTGGAATGGTTTAGGTTGGAAGGGACCTTAAAGTTCATCTAGTTCCAGTCTTCTTGCTATGGGCAGGGACATCTTCCACTACACCAGGTTGCTCAAAGCCTCATCCAGCCTCACCTTGAACACTTCCAGGGATGGGACATCTACAGCTCCTCTGGGCAACCTATTCCAGTGCCTCACCACCCTCAGAGTGGAGAATTTCTTCATTAGATCTAATTGAAATCTACCCTCTTTCAGTTTAAAACCATTGCCCCTTGTCCTATCACTACATGCCCTTGTAAAAAGTCCCTCTCCAGCTTTCCTGTAGGCCCCCTTTAAGTACTGGAAGGCTGCTATAAGATCACCCTGGAGCCTTGTCTTCTCCAGGCTGAACAGCCCCAACTCTCTCAGCCTGTTTGCATAGCAGAGGTGCTCCAGCCCTCAGATCATCTTCATGGCCCTCCTCTGGACCCGTTCCAGCAGCTCCATG